ACATTTCAGCCTTCCAGGTCATCTAACGGCTTTCAGATAGTGAAGACGTTACATCTTGAAGCAGTTACATTCTACTGAGACTAAACTTCTGTCCACCTTAACTATCCCCCTTGGGTTACAGTACAGATTTCATTTGTGCTATAACTGGCTATGTATGTTGAGCTCATGCATTACAGCCAGCCTGCCCTGTCCTGTCGTCAGAATCAGAGGCTAAGGGAAGACTCAAAAATTGCTGTGAACAATCTCTATTTGGATACGAATGAAACGATTCAGACTCAACACGTGGGAAAAGAACTCCTGAATCTGTTCTCCCCTCCTCCCTGCCTCTGGACCACCTCTCCCATCCTGTTCCCTTCCAGACCTCCTCCGTCTCAGGAAGTGTCACCACCATGCGCTTGCTCTTAGCCAAAAGACCTGTCAATACGCGTCCAAAATGCTTCTCGGAAACCATTTATTCCTCTTCTTCTCTATGTTTATTACCGTAACCCGAGCCCCTCTCCCTTCTCACTGAGATGGTTGACCTGCTCACTGGTCTCCCCGCTCTGCTTGTGTCTCTGCTACAATCCACGAGGAAGCCAGAGTGGTCTGTGTCGCCCTGCTCGAAACCCTCCAGCGGTTGCCTGTTGTGCTCAGAAGAAAATCTGTCCGTTGCCTGGATGGCTGTTTCTGAGCTTGCTTTTCCGCTTGTCTGACTGCAGCACACTCCACGGGTGCACTGCTCACTAGATTCCAGCCAGAGGGCTCCCCTTTTCTTCCCTTTCAGCTGTGCACAAGGGAAGTGCTCTCTGGTCTCCGGCCTCTGTAATTTGTTATTTTTCTTTTCAGCTCAGATACTGTGTCCTCAGAGAGCACTTTCCAGACCTCTCTATTTAAGTTACCCTCATCTTGTCTCAAAGGCACCTTCTATCATATTATTCAATTTTCCTTCGCAGCGCGTAGCAGATTCTGAGTTTCTCTTGTTTATAGTTTTATTCTCTGTCGCTTCCTGCTCCTACGAGAAACAAGCCCCTTGAGGACAGGGACCTTGTCTGTCTTATTCTCTGTTTAGGTAGCAGCTGAAACAGTGCCAGGCACGTAGGGGTCACCCAGAAAGTGATAGGACATGCTGGTAAAGAAATGAAAGCCAAAACATGGATATTTTTGTGCCTTTTAAATTTGATATTTGATTTTTCTGTCAAGAAACTCTCTTGCTGGGTTGTGTATAAGTGGTAGACGATTTACAGTACAGTTGTACCGTATATCATGGAGTTAAAAGCATGTGCTCTGGAGCCTTACTGCCTGAATGAAAATAACTGCTGTGTGACTTTGGACAAGTTTCTTACCCTCTCTGAGTCTTAATTTCCTTATCTGAAGAACAGAGCTAATAATAATTATATATATCTAAAACAGCACTTTTATGAGGATTAAACGTGTTAATTTAGCATAGTGTCTGGTATGGTAAGGCCTCAATAAATACTACCTAATATTAATTTCTAATTCATGCATAACTCATACCATTTCCTAGCCAAAGAAGCAGTAGCTGAGGAAAGATAAAAATGATTTAAATAGCTTTTAAACATATTTTGCATGTGCCATATGTTAGGAAATAAGCTGATTTAAATGATCTTAAAATTAGTGTTTTTGCTGAGACTAATATAGTTAGGCAAAAAGATTCTTGGCTCTCTGGCTTCAGCTTAAGAGTAGTTCAGTGTAACTGGCTGAACACTGTAATGGTGTCTGGCAGTGTGCCATAAATGGCCAGTTCATGCAGTTGAACTGATGGTTGGGAAAACTGTTTTGAAAATATTGTTAAAGCATTCAGTGTGGAAGATGCTCTGTGAAGACTCCTGGGGTGTGAAGACACAGTTATCTTGCTCAAAGGAAAGTGCTTAAGAATCGCTTGTCTTACAAACTGATTTGGTTTAAAATGTTTGCTCTCTGTGAAGAAATCACTGCCTGATTCTCCCTAAGACTTGTTCTGTTACACGTGAATTTCTGCTTAACGTTGCCGAGGGGAATAGGACTTGTTTCCTTAAGAAAAACAGTCATGAACATTAGTCATCAGAATGTGACTGCAAATCTCTCTTTAAAGCGTATAACAGAATCTCTAGCATTCAGCCCCAAATTGCTTTCACAATTGTTCCCAATTTCGGAATAAAGGGGAGAAGCTTTGTCACCAGGGTAGCTTTCCAGCTTAGGTTTCCTTCTCTTTCTCTTTTGGACAAAGGAATGAGAATACAAGAAAAAAGACCCAGCGAACCATTTAGGACACCAGCCCTGGGGTCAAAGGGGTTTCTATGCCAGGTCCGTATTACAACTAAAAGTAGGCTCGGGAAGTCAATGCTGGCTCTCTGAAAAGGGACACAGAAAGGTTCCTGGTGCCCTGCCCAGTGTTCAGAGTGTGACATCAGCACTGCAGCCTCAAATTGCAAGGGTATGACCAGTGCCAGGCCAACCTTTTCTTGCTGAATAGCAACTGGGGTGGGTTTGGAGCAGGAGAAAGGAGGCAGGGAGCAAATGATAACTATGCAGATTTCCAAGCAATTGAAAATAATCAAAATGCTCTTAAGCTTTGTGTCTTAAGTTCAGTGGCACCTGGCGTTAGCTAATTTTTATTGTATGAAAAATAGCTCTTCCCCTGGCTACATAAATTATATAACCATGAGGGGAAGGAGGCATAATTATTACTATTTTATATATGTGAAAACTGAGACCCAGGTTAATTCTGCAAAGATCTGCTTGCTCTAGGATTTGAACGCATTCTTCCTGAATAGAGTATAGTATAATTACTGTAGTATAATTACTGTATGGTAAAAAATTCAAATCTTGAGTATAGCCTTGTAACTTTTTATAAATGTGACTTTTAAACATTGTAACTACCACCAAGATCAAGAGATAGAAAATTTCCATCACCTTCAGAGCAGTAAAAACGGAGTTCATTTGCCACAGATGGGGCATCTGATGAAAAGAAGAAAATATTTTAGTCATTTAAGTTTAAAGACAACTATTTTTGTGCACAGCTCCCATTGTACTATAAATTATCAGAGTTTGTGCAATAAACTTTGCAAGCCAAGTTAATAGCACAGATGGAGAAATCGACCACATTTGAAACTCTCTTTTGTTCTCATCCCCTTAGCCCTTAAATAGTTTATGACGTGTTTGGAAGATGTTGAAATAGAATGTGGCGATAGATGGCCGGGGCATGGAAAGTTATTGAAGATATTCATTGGGCTGCTTTTTTCAGACTAAGTATTTTTTTTTCAGTCAGAGGATTTTGAGAGCGCCAATTTGAGCGATATGAGTGGTTCTTAAATTGTATCTTTCTATGATATGATGAGAAATCTGAGCATATTGAAATTTAAACAATAAAGAAAAATGAATAGTACTGATTTGTTCAAGGAAATGCAGGTATTCAGGCTAAAACTGAGTGTGCGGATAGACCAAATGCTAATAGAAAGCTGAATTTTCTTCCATGGCTTGAATGTTCTGACTCCAATGGAACAGTAGATTTTGGAGAATTTCAGAGCTTTGCAGTGGGGACAAAGCCAGAGTTTTAGAGATGAGTCTGAGGGTTTGACTATGAATTATCTTCAAGTTTTTGCAGATATGTTTCTTGAACTAACTTTACAAGTTGTCTGAATTACTAAGCACCCATCCTTCAAGAGAGGAAGGAAAGTGAATCTTTGAATTCCTAGAATTTTTAATTTTTGAAATGGGCGTATCAATCTTAGAATATCCTTACTCTTTTGGAGCCTATGACCAAACTGCAGACATAGATCCACATGGCTGACATATACTCTTTTAAGGAATTTCTCAAATCAGAGTGAAAGCTGATGTGACTGATATAATCCTTGAGTCATAAGTGAGATCTTCTCTAACAGAACTCACTTTTTTCTCTCTCCCCAATCTGTCTCCATGTCTCAAAAATATTTTAGTCTTTTAATATTTTTATTAGAATTGATCAATATAAACTATGAACAGTATGGGTCTTATAACTGTGCACTCTTGTATGTATAAATTTAAATTTTTGGAACCACTTCGCCATTATTTCTAATAAATGAAAATATCCCAAAGGTTCTCCTGTCAGATGATTTTTGATTGCCTCTTTGATGATTTTGATTGCTGACTCGCGCTGTAGAAGACATTTGTTTGTCTCAGTGAAGAAGGCAGTTTCCCTTGATAACTTCACTTTATAAATTCAATATAATTTGTCAGCAAACATTGTACAGTTCCTTGTCTTCAGCGACCAGCGTGTGCTGTTCTAATTAAGAAATGCCACGGAAGAGCTTCTGGGCGGGCTCTGCCTTTGGGCAACCTTAAAGTGTACCCACCTTTGTCAGTGAAACATGAGTCTTTAACGATCTGGGTTGGGGAAAGCTTCCTGTAACTTGGAACTGGAGCATTAATTTGAGTAGGTCAAGGGCACTCTGAAGTTGGAACAAAAGCTAGATCGGGAACCCAAGGAAAGAGTCACTCCCTTCAGCAGCCATAGCCAGTGACCGGAGAAAGAATTCTCCAAAAGGATAATAAATGATGCATGGCTCAAACTCAAGCCAATGAGGAGCATGAGTGAATTTGGAGATGAATCCCAATTTTCATTCTACTCAAGCACAATGGAATAGCTGCTCCTGAAATGGAGTTTGTTTGTTTGTTTGTTTAGTTTCTGTTCTTGAAGACCTGCAGCCCAATGAATTGTTACATTTACTACAGTAACATAAAATTTCTCCACATGCATTTTGAGGATTTTTTGTTTAGGCTTTTTTAGTTTTTAAAGGCAATGTTATAGGAATCCTACGATGAATAAGATGATTACTATAGAGTCTTTTAAAAATTTACCCCATTTCCTTGTGTGGTTTATTGAAATGTGATGGTCCTGCATTCATTCCTTCTATCAGTATTTACTGAGCATGTCCTATGAGCCACAACCTGTCACAGACTCGTTGTCCCAAGAAACTCAAGGGTGGGTTTGGATATTTTAACTGTTTTTCCAAATTGTTCTTTTTCCCTTTTGCTATCTTAAGGAGATGAAGTCACCAACCACCCTGGACAGACCAAGCATCACCATGAGAGCTACACCTATGACCTTTGCCTTATTTTTAATGCTAAGATCTCTCCAGGAGGAGCTTAGGCCTTATCGCTGTAACCTGCGGTGTATGTGGAAGCATGTTTTCCAACTGAGCCTGTGCAAGCGAATACCCACCTCTCCTTGTTGAATATTCATCCACATCCGAAATAAAAGGTCCCTGCTTCTCTTTGTTTGGAGGACACCATGACTCTGGAAACAATTCCACATGGTCTCCTGTTTGCCGCAAATACACTTTACTTTGTGAGACAACTGCTTCTGGTGGAGAGTCTGATTTAACTTATCCGGAGGGAACCCACTTTGGTTTCATAACAAACCTATGGCATGCACTAGGATGGCAGTGATAAACCAGGTGAACTTTATCCTTGCAGTTATAGAATTTAAAGCTTGGTGTGATGCCTTTAACCTGTGCTCTGAGAAACCTTGAAGGTTTCAGGGATGCCTCAGGGCAACCAGCGAGGTGAGTGGGGTAGGAGGAGAGGGGCCTGAAGTTCCCAGCTCATTGTTTCCCCAGACTCAATGTGTTGTCCTTTTTCTGTTTCACCCATTGAGCAACCTTTGAAGATGCTGAATGTTACTATTGACAAATAAATGAAAAGCAGTAGGATATATTGGAGTAGATGAAGAAGCCATTTGGGTTAAAACTAATTCAGCCTGACCTTGTTTTTTCAAAAGGGTCTGATGTGGCCCGTTGAGCATGCATCGTACATCTGCTTTAACTACTTACTGTGTCCCAAAGATAAGAATGATGCCCTTAAAGATAGGGATGTAACTTCCCTCCATATTCGCGTTGCTTTAAGGATAAGCATCTCATCCTGGGAGCTAAGGATTACTGACCTGCTGTGCTCACCTTGTCACCACTGACCTGCTGAGCCAGCTAAGCATCCCCTGACAGTAGTACAAGGGACATTCCTATCATATGTAATGTATGCTCTTTGTTTCAAGATGGTTTATAACCAATCTGTACACCCCACTTCTTTGCTGCCCTTCCTTCCTTGGGGAAGGGAGGCCCCGGGTTATAGTCCTCAGACCTGGCTCATGATAAACTCACCCCCATTTTGATTTATAGATTGATTATGGATTGTTTGCATCGACACAGTGGATTATAAAACATAGTCACTGCACTCCAGAAGATTTTAATCTAGTAATATTTAATACTAGTTTCAACTATTTTAAGCTTAAGGCTATTGGGATGAACTCTGCCAGGTTACAACTAAGCTGTGAAGCCTCCTGCAAAATTTCTTGCTGCCGAAGTTCAAGAGCACACTCTTAGGCTGGTGGAGAGACATTTGGGAGCAGTAGTTGCTGAGCACTCAGGAGAGTGTGGGCTCCTTACTTTGCCAATCAGTGTGCTTAAGCTTTGCTGCACAGCACTACGTACTCACACTCAAGACATGCTAGGGATTGACTGAGATTTTGGCCATCAAGATGAAGAAGAACTAAAATAAGTCTTAGGGATGAGCAGTGACTGCTTTCCCACGATTGATTGCAGCAGGTCATGTGTCACTAGGCCAAGCTGAGCACTGCTGCCCCACATTAGCCCACGTGGTAGTTTATTTACTGCTCGTGGCTGCTGAGTAAATGGTTGTGGAGCTGAACTGAATAGGAGCAGAGGTCTTTCCTTTAGAGATGACTCAGCTGTGTAGAGACGTGCCTGGAGTCAGGAATTGGCGACTGTTGACCCTTCACATGGTGCTTAAAGGATAAGCACCTTTAAGGATAGGTGATAAAGGACAGGGTTCCTTTATCCTCAGGCAAGGCTGCCCTTATTGGTAGAATGACTGCGTCCTCAGAGTGATTTGGTTTGAGGGAACTCTGCTAGAAAGCATCTCTTCCCAGGTACCCCTCTGGGTTTTAGAGTCAGCAATTAAATTCTTTTTCTAATGGTTAAAGCAGTTTGTCTGAAAACACCCCTATTAAGATATGGATCCCTCACTCCCCATGCTCTCCCAAGGTGCGGCCTAAGTTATTGTCATACATTTGAATCTTATGAGTATTAGTTAATTCATCAGATTGACTTCAGTTAATTTGCAGTGACTTGAGTAACAAGGGCTCATTGAAAGAAAGGCAGAAATGTGTGTTCAGAGCACAAAGCTGCCTGCATTAAGGATCTAGGATACTGTAAGGGCACAAAACCCTAAACTATTTCCTCCACAGTTTTGTCTCTGGCCCGTTCTAACTTTTAGTGTTATAATTCCCAGCTGCAAGAGACGGGGCGCCGAAGCTGAAAGCTGTTTTCATGGGGAAAAGGCGATAAATCCTTTCGTATGTCCATTTTTAGGTATGGTCCTGAACCATATCTGTACCAAAGGAAAAGAAAATAATGAATGCAAGACAGAGAGGATCCATGAGAGTTCTCCATATTTGCTACTAGACTTTTATTCTAGGATAATAGAGGAATTTCTACCAAGACCAAAAATTGCTCTTTTATTTAAGTATGATGTCTGTAGAATAGATATATTCCATGCTTTAATATTTTTTAGGTAATCACAGACAAAAAGAATGTATTTTTAAATCTGAAATGAAACACATGGAAGCCTGTGTTAGGTTTTGGATTTGAAATTTTTCAGAGTTCTGGAATTTTAAAACTAAAAGGTTCTATTAATTTTTTTTAATTTTTAACATTTCAGAAGACATAAAATATATAGGAATCTTTGGTCTGGCCTAAAATCACGTTGAGTATTATGAAGATTAATTTTGCATGCTTATCTGCTTAATGAGATCTGATGAATAGCTGGCTTGTAATCAGAATGAGGTAATACGAAGACAGCTTTTTCAAGACTAGACACACAGTTGACTCATTAGGTAATTTCTGTTTACCATTGCTTTATCCTCCTCTACTCGGAGACCTCAGTAGACCAAACATGTTTAGTATCTTAGGTAAAAATAGATTAACTATTACCTTTTGCTTGGAAATTCAAAGACCCCTGGACATCTGTCCGAAAATGGAATGTGATAGGGCAAAGACATTAAACTATGACGCATGGGTTAGAAAAATCTAAACATACTTCTAAACGGGTCACTTTCTCTAATTACCATCTTGAGTTTTATTCTGGAACGTTTGTTGTCAAAAGCTAAATTCCATAAGTTTGTGTGAATATTTTTGATCAATATGCAAAGTCACCAATCTCCAATGACTCCCCGTTACCAATAAAGTGCAGATTATTTTGCCTTTTATTCAAAGTCCATCATCATTTGGCCTCTACTTTCTTTTTCAATACTACTTCCTAGTAAATTTCAACCCACACCTTCTACTCTAGTTAGACTGGCCCAGTAAATGTGACATGTCTATCCTTCCACTGTTACTCATTTCCACAGACTGTAGTTCTCACTCAGTCATCTCTGCCCATTCATGTCCTAACCATCTTTCAAGTTCATGGGGAAGTCCTCCCTCAGGCTTGAAGCTCCCTTTGACAGCCTTGTTCTGTAGTACTTCAATTCCGTTTCCAGGTTCTTATGATCTTGTCTGTATTGCTCATTTGACACCTAATAACTTAGACGGCATTTCCTGAGTGCTTCCTGAGTGCCAAGCATTGTACTAAGAGCATCTTCTTATTTAATCCTCAGACCTCATGGGAAAGGTGCTATTTTTATTCTCATTTCAGATAAGGAGATATTTTGGAGAACTGAATAAAGGCCACCAGCTAAAATTGGTGAAACCTGGATTCAAAAGTATATTCTTATCTGCTGAATAAAATTACTTTATATTAATAATTAACCTTTCCTCCATTTCAGTCCCCTCTCCCCCAAGGTTGTAAATTGTTTCGGAATTTTGGAGTGTTGCAATATTTATTTTCAACCTTCCTGACACAGCCCCTTTCCTGCACCAGATTACTAGCATAATGCTCTGCATTTGGTTGACTCTCAATAAATATTTGTTCATTGAAGAAACAAAAACATGTATCAATGTCCTTTTATCGTGGATTTATAGCTTGTGTCCTTACCTTTTTTTGAAACATAGTTTTCTCTGTAATAAGCAACGACTTATTGAGATACTTCAGTGATAGGAGATAGGGGGTCTAGGAATGCCTTAGAAATGTTACTGAGTTTTTTACCCCAGAAACATTGAGATATTCTCAACTCTGGGGCATTTTATTGATATAGTCGTATGATTGACTTTGAATGTGTGCAGTAAACTTTAGGCAAAATTTATTCAGTGCAAAGTATGTTTATGTTATCATAGGCCAGCGAGTGTTTGTTGAAAAAAAAAGAAACTGTTTCCATGGAGAAGGAGTAGGAATCAGCACAAAGGGAAGAAATGGAGTCTCCAGTACCTCAAATATTTTTCTCAGTCTCTATTTTCGCGATTTGATCACTTTATTCTGGGGACAGGAGAAGGGGTCTGCGTTGGTGGAACTGAAGGTGATGAGGAAGGAGACGTAAGCATTGAAGATGTCTACGTGCTGTAAGTTTGCTGTAGTTTTTCATAAAAAGAAGATAAAGTCTTAGTTTTTCTCTAGTAGAAAAAAGAGAGGAAAAAAAAAAAAAATAAGGCCTAAAACCCTAGCAGTGCATGTCTGCTAAAGATATTGAAAATGGGGATAATGTCTGTGTATATAACTACTTTTATTTTAATTAATTAATTAATTAATTACTTTTTTTGGGAGAAAGATTAGCCCTGAGCTAATATCTGCCACCAATCCTCCTCTTTTTGCTGAGGAAGATTGGTCCTGAGCTAACATCCGTGCCCATGTTCCTTTACTTTTTATATGTGGGTTGCCTGCCACAGCATGGCTTGATAAGCAGTGTGTAGGTCCGCACCCAGGATGTGAACAGGCGAACCCCAGGCCACCGAAGTGGAGTGTGTGAATATAACCTCTGCGCCACAGGGCCCGCCCCTGTAAGTACTTTTATTGTCTGTTGTCCAAATAAAATTTTGATACCATGCTTACATCATCCCCTTAAAACATCTTACTATTCCCCATTACTGTAGGAGCAAATTGTTGTATTCATCTGAAAGATGGATGTATCTATGGTATCACTGAAATATTCTCTGATACCGAATCAGCATTTCATCACATCTGATTAATCTCATTTCCCCAGAGCCCAGTGCGGCTTCTTGAGTTCCAGGGTAACTATCAACAGAAAGGTGTAAACTGGAGCACGTAGCATTGCCTTGGCGGATAACATAATCCTTCCTCACGGGTCTGATTTCTAGACTGATTCGCCCTGGGGCTCGGTTATAAATCGGGTGGGTGGAGAGAACTTTTTGCCAAAATACCTGTGCTAATTGAATGAATGTATTAGGCTATTTAGGAGGGCCAGGGAGGTGGGGGTTGGGAGGAGAATTAGTTTCTAAAAGCTACCATGGCAAGATTATTCATGCAAACACAAACATTCTTAATTTCTTAATTTCACCTCCAAGGTTAAAACATTAAAGACTCTCATATAACAATTTGTGTAGAAAATGCTTTCTGGGTAGTAATAACATTGTTTGTGGATGCACCATGAATTCACACGTGGACTACTAACTCCTCAAGGGCCAGAGATTCTTCTTGGATTACTTTTAGGTCATATGCATCATTGTCAGTAATTTTAGAAATAAAAACCAGCCTATCATCTGGCTGGATGTGAGTTAAATTGATAAACCCACGGTAGTGAAGGAAATCACATGCTGTAAGAACCCAGATGGAGGCCTCCTTTCTGTTCACTGGGAGTGGTTCAGCTCAGAACTTCGTCTCTGGCTCCTTATCCTTAACCTCTCCATCTTCACCACCAGATGGGAAATCTTGGTTGTTAATCCTCCTTCTGGGATGACTAGAAACTTCCTCATTGAGGACACTAGAGGAAATCCCTACTTGATTATGAGAACACCACCTGACTTTCCTGGCAAAGGCATTACGATAGAGCCAAAATTCAGAATTCATAAATAAAAGGAAATCTGATATATGTTCTTGTTCAAATGCTCTCCTTTTTTAAATGATAATTTTAAAACCATATTTCCTTTGATATCTATTCAAAGCGGTTTTTAAGAAGGAGGATCCACAGATAGTCAGTGAATTCTATTTTTATTTTCACTGAACATGCCCACTGGAAATAGAAATCGTGTGCTCTTGTGATTAGCTGTTTCTTAGGTAGAAGAAAAACTTCTCAGATTATCAGTGCGTTTTTGATTCTTTGAACTCAAGTGACATACGTGAGAATTAAACATAATTTTCTGTAGTTCCTCTTGTTTTAGACAACTATTCCAGCTGTTTTTGCTAAATATATTGACCACAGTTGAAATTCGCATGCGCCTTGTCTTTGAAATTCCATCCCAGCATAAGTCAACAAAAGTGTGTAGCTCTTAAAGGATGTGAGGGATAGGCAAGTCTTTATGTTTTAGCTTTGGTGTGAGTGACTTTGCCATATTTGATAAGAAAGAAGTAAAAAGAACCTTGAGTTTACCCCTCATTTGGTACAGAAAGCCAATGAAAAGCTTTAAATAAAACTCCATCCAAACTGCCTTTTGTGAGTAAAAGGCTATCTTTCAGGACTTCAAAGCGGTACAAGTGGTCATTTGTCCTCAGATGTCCTGTGTGTAAGGTTAGGTGGGACTCTCCTCACTTAAATGCTGATGAAAGGCACGTGACGCGGTAAGTAAGCTGGTGGGAAAGACTTGCTTTTAGACCATCTGGGACTTTCATATGCTTCATTCTAGACTCGGCTCTTATTTCTTTACCTGTGAGTTATATAAACGAATCTTGGATCAATGTCAAAGATTCTGATTTTCCACATTCCTTTCAGTTGACATACTCCTTGAGAAAAATGTTAAAGTGAGAGAGAGTTTGTGAAAGAGTGGTAATGAAAGCGTATATGGTATAGGGTAGAAAGACATTGATTATTTTATAGAATACATTTATTACAGCAGAGGTGTCTATAAAATATATTTCTATGAAGCAGACCAGTAGGATTTCCCTACCGACTTCTATTTTTGAGTCAGTGAAATGGTTTCACTTATAAATGATTTATGATGAGATAAAGCTTATGATGAGATAAAAATTGAGCATCTGGTAGCATGCTGGTGACACAGTGGCTAACATGACTTTTGTTGACTAGAGTACCAGTGGGAGTTTTGTCTGTGGCATATTGTAATTCCAGTTGAGCAGTTTACTGTGCTTTTGGAGTATGTTCCAGTATCTCATTTCCACCATCACCGGCTCCTCTGTTCCTTCTTTCTCTCTCCTTTTGTTTACATTATGTCTCAGAAATAGTCAAAGCTTTCAAGCTTTTTTCTGTGAATAAGAGTCAAGTAAGAGACAAGTAAGTTCTAAGCAAAATCAGACTCCAATGGGGCCTGTGTCGGCTGGTTAATGAGCTGATAAAACTTACCCAAATTTAATGAAAAACATTAAATTGCAATTGAAGAAACTCAACAAACCCAAAACAAGATAAACATAGAGAATGTTACTCCTGAACACATCATAGTCATGTAATGTAGGGGACGACAGCAGTATTAACAATGGAGGGGACATGGAAAAAAATGGAAAGATGAGTACAGATATCTATTCGCCTGGATGCCCTCCCCTAGTTTCCTTGATGTGCAAGCTGACTGACATTTGTGAACTATCTGATAACATTTAGGGTGTGGAATACCAGGAGACTAATTACTTTGGACTCCTTGCCTCATTTACACCATATTTTAATTAGCTAAAGTTGACTCCTCTCTCTCTATACACATACATATAGGTGTGTGTATATATGTGTCTATGTATGTGTGTGTTTGTGTATTATTGTAGACTTTAGGAATTGTGATGATTTCTTATGTTGCGAAGGAAATTTACATATATTTAATATATAAATATACATATATAATATATATTTATGTACATTTCCTCCATAACTTAAGAAATCACCATGATTTCTTGTTTATAAAAAGTATAACTCTTTTAAAGGAAACTTGATTTCCTTTAAGGAAACTGTTAGTAACAACTAAAATCTGTGAAAGGCTGATTAGCCAGTATTTAAATTGTAACTATATGACTTTGTATTAAAAAAAAGCCACGTAAGTACAAATCCTGACCATAATATAATAGTCTGAGTGTATATATAACCAAAGTTATGTTATAAATGTTCTGTGTTGTTTTTTTTTAATCAAGGGGACCACTAAAACAAATGTAAATATTTTTAAAAAATCAACTGGGACAATTTTTAAAGAGATATAAATATTTAGGAACAATTAGAATTTCTTACTAACT